ATATATATATATATACACATATATATATATATACACATATATATATATATACACATATATATATATATATACACATATATATATATATAAACATATGTACATATATATGCTGCTATAAAATATAACAATAAAACTGATTCTACTTTTTCCATATTTATTAAACACATAACAAGAAAATTGGCCTTTACTTACATGGAAAAATAAAAACAGAACTACAGCAAATAAAAATCTCATAGTAAGATCATTAATGACAGGAAAAATAGCCAAAGGGCATTACAGAATATTCTTTATTTTCAATATCTTCTGAAAAAAAGAAGTATCAGTTTGGCGTTATGGATACAGACTTTGTAAAGGCAAATCATCTTTTAAAATTTGTTTCAGATGTACAAATAAACTACAGTAAAATATTTAAGACACATTTTGACATGAGCCAAATGTAAGCCTGGAATAATTTGCTAAATGTCAAGAGAGGGAAAAAATTAGACCAAATGGTTGCCCTTAAGCTTAACTATAGTATTTTCTTGTATCTGTGTTTGAAAAGTCACCACTGCTAGCTAACAGAAAACATTAAATCAAAGGGATTTAGCATTGTGGTTAATGTCTTGTTCTTTATGATCTCCATGGCCCTAGATATTGCAGCACATATTTTACACATGTAATTCTGCTTTGGGACTGCTCTAAAACCATCGTACAATGTGCTGAATTAATAATGCTTATAAGTGTAACATATACAGGGAGAGTTTGAACAACTCTTGATGAAAGGTGATATATATTTATGAGGTGCCAGATATTTGCCTTTAAAAGTAATTTTTATTAACCCACACTATTGAGATTTGTATTGAAGTGGTCTCTTTGTGGTAGTATATTGTTTAAAATATGTTCTGTGAAATTTAGGCACAATGGGGTGAATAAAAGAATAAGTACCTGTCTAAATTTTATGTATTTTTAAAAATTGAACCATGGGGGTATACTTTTAATGCAGGTGCATTGTATTAGGCAGAAAACAATAAAAGGGGTTATATATTTCATATGCAACTGCAGGTTTTAAAAAAGTACATATTATTATTTTCAATATTTTATTTTCTTTTTATTATGGAGGTAATCATGATATCACATGCTCATGTATCGTGTTTCTTGCAAGGTGTTCAAAACACATTACAGTAATTCAGTGTTTTACTTATAACTTTCCTTGAGGGAAGCAAGGACAGTATTATTGCCCCATTTTATGGACAAGGCAACTGGTTAACAAATGGCTGCTGTCTAAATGTCAGAGTTTTTTGTTTTTTTTTTTTCCTCTGGCCTTGCACATCATGTGTCCACTAAGCTGATTCTGTTGCTGCTGACCACCAGAGTCACCACTCCTTTGACTACTGCCCTGGCTATTGTGACTAGCACACTTCAGAGTGTTCATTTCTTTCCAAACACAAGGCAGAGTTCATGCTGCAAATTTTAATGATAGTTTACTGAACATTTCGGGAAGTAGAAGGTGTACATTACAAGGTGACTACATTCAACAACTGGCCAGGTGCAGATCAGTCAGATTCCCCTTACTGGCTTGCTTCCTGTCCTACTGCTGACTAGTTTCCTTGTGGCCAGAGCGATTAATCTCTTGTCATATTACAAAGCCTGATGTATATCTAATCTAAGCTCCAGAAAGAGTAGAACACATTTTCTTCCCTTAATCTAAAACCCACTTCCATGGGTCCCAGAATTTTCTTCGTAGGATGGAAATTTTCATTTCTTTTAAAGATAGCATCCTTCTCATCTACACAAGTGTGTTCCATCTCATGGTCATAATACCAAATTTACATAATAGTCAAATCTACTATGTCTGCCTTATTTGGCCTTGAATAACACTATGTATTTGATAGAAACAGCCTGGACAGATGGGCTTACACCTAATTTTATTTCTACTCAATAAGGAGTTAGTATACACTGGCGTTCAGTCTTATTCAAGTTTTCTTGTTTTTGTCATATATGATCCTAGGATGCATAATAGACACGTCAGCAGAACCTGAAGTTCCAAGGCCTATCCACACACTGGGACATGTTTGTGTCTCACATACTTATTTACTCAATTACTGATTCATTAAACAATTATTTAAAAGTGCGTCTGAATGTGATGGTTACTGAGCCACACAATGTAACCGAATTAGACAGGCTGCCTGCCCTCAGTCATCTTGTAGTATAGATAAAGTAAGCCACAAACAATCATCAAACATTTTTCTTTTTAAAAAAGTGTGTCAGTTTTCATCCATGTATTTGTTCTCCACTAGACACCATCTGGAGGGACTTTAAATCAGGTGCTCAAACAAGGAACGGATAACACTAATTCCCTTGATCTCCCTCTTTTACTCTCACAACCCGTCTTATCTCTGAAAAAGCTGAAGGCATACTTTTAGAAGTCTCTTTACCAATGCAATGATTCCATGCATAATTAATAGAACCACTTGTTCTAACTTATCCAGTGAAGTAATGAAAACAAGAGAATGGGCAGCTGTTTTATCTGTAAATTTTTTAAAGCAAGAAAAAGAGTTTTCTGAATATTGGCCTCATCAGTAAACTTAGAATGAACAGTGATGAAAGAGTATGTGAAAATAAAGACTGAGTTCCTTTTATATAATTTCTTAGGGACATACTTGGTTGGAAATGAGTTTTCAAATGGAACCATAACTCATCTTAAACAATTAAAACCTTACTTTTGTGCATATTGGTCACAAACATACTTATTTTCTAATTTGGAATGTGGGGTAGTTCTATAGTTTATTATGATAATAATGAATCATAAATAGGGAAAATATTGAAGAAGGAAGATTCTTGAGTATATAAAATAATCACAGCTTAAAATATCAAATATAATTTATTTTTAAATTTTATGTAAATCATTTTTTCTTATCTTTGCAAGTTATAATAATGGTTTTGGTTTCTTATATAAAATCATGAATTCATGCAATCTTAACAGTTGGAAGGTGCCTTAGAAGTCTCTTCCTTCTAATTCATGCTCAAGACAGAAATCTCTTCATCCCCATCATGCTTAAATGATTTGTTTGAACACTTTAAATGAAAAACTCATATTTTGAGGCAATTTATTTCAATAATGGGCAGCCTTGATGGCTCTTAGGATTTCTCTTCATTGTGCCTTAATTCCTGCCCTTTTAGTCTTCCACACAGTGACTTTTTCGACCCTGCCTTTTTAAGTATTTGAAGAGAGAAATAATATGCCCTCCACTACCCCTTCTCTTTCCCAGAAAAAAACCTTTTCTTTCTTGCTTTCTTTCTTTCTTTTTTCTTTTTTTTTTTTAACGGAGTCTTTCTCTGTCGCCAGGCTGGAGTACAGTGGTGCGATCTCAGCTCATTATAACCTTCAACTCCCTGGTTCAAGTGATTCTCTAGCCTCAGCCTCCTCAGTAGCTGAGATGATAGGCACACGCCACTGAGCCCAGCTAAGTTTTGTATTTTTAATAGAAACAGGGTTTCGCCATGTTGGCCAGTATGCTCTTGATCTCCTGACCTCATGATCTGCCTACCTTAGCCTCCCAAAGTGCTGGGATTACAGGCGTGGTGGCCTGGCCAAAACCCTGTCTTTGTGTCCAGAGAAGGATATACTATTTCAGTCAGAGAGAACAACATGAACAAACATGCAAAGCAAGCACCTCATGAATTGAGCTAGCAACATGGGCTAGAAAATGAAATATATGAGAAGCAGTAAGAGAAAGTAGAAAATAAATTGAAAATGAAGATTGGGGTCTGATTGTGGGTAGCTATAGGCAAAGGGATCTTTGATGATTATTTTTAAGTAAGGATAGTGATATGATCAAATGTCTGTTTCAGGAAGATTGATCAGACATGACTAATCATGTAGAGAATTAATTTCCAGTTGTATATGAATTTTTTGTCCGTTATTCTCTTCATGTCAACTTTTTGCATTCAGGCCCTTATGTAATCCCCTCTCTAAGCATGTAGGCTGAACCTAGAAACTTGCTTGTAACCTATAGACTATAGCAAAAGTGCTGGGATGTCAGTTCCATGATTATGTTACAAAAGATTCTAACTTTCCCCTTAATAGCAGACTCTCTCTATTACTTTTTCAGTTTGCATGCTTTCTTAAAGCAAGCTGGTACCTTGGAAAGGCCTATGTGCAAAAAACTGAATGTGGCCTCTGGCCAACCACCAGCGAGGAGCTAAGGCCCTCAGTCCAGCAGTTTGTGAAGAACTGAATCCTGCCATCAACCATGTGAGCCTGGAAGTGGATTCTTCCCCAGGTAACCTTCAGATGACTACATCCCAGATGACAGGTTGATTACAGCCTGTAATAGGGCTTAAAATAGAGGATCCAGTTAAACCATGACTGGACTTTTGACCTAAGATATTTAGATAATAAGTGTGTGTTGGTTTAAGCTGCCAAGTTTTTTAAGTTTTTACACAGCAATAGGTAACTAATACAGGGCTACATGTGTGATATTTTGAAAATATGTGCTAGTTCAACTTGTGATGATAAATCTCCTGGTGAGCTGAAGAAATTTCACCTGATACATAGGTTGTGATTATATAGGAAATAGACATATAAACATTGTGAACAAGAGTATTGTGATACTCAGAAATAATAGGGGAATGACAGATATTTGGATGATAGATTTGATTTTTTGGTTCTGGTATATATAAATTCATATTTACACATTAAAACATAGAACTGTATTCTCTGGACTGAGGTATTATTGACAGTAAAAGGGAATATTACTGTGTCCCTAAAGAGCATACCTTAAATTTTTTGTGTGAGAGTTTTATAATTGCAAAGCAGCTAGAGTGTACAAGACTAAAATATTCAAGTAGTTTTTTAAGCTGGCAGAAGACCAGCAAGATAAAGGCTCTAGTTAGGACCTCAAAAAAATAAAATAGAGGTTATCTCTTATATTTTGATGTGTGCTTGCTACCATTTTTTAAAAGTGAGAAATTCATTACAAATACTTGAATTTACAGAAGAGATCTTTGGCATTGCAGCCAAAAGCTTAAAAACTAAAACAACAACACATACAAAATGAAGTGTTGCTAAACCAAATCAGACTATTTTATCCTGCCTTGTCCAAAATATTATTCCATTTTCTTGTGAAAATAATTTATTAATAGCTCTTATGATTTTGCATTTAAAAATATTGACTAGGTAATGTGATCACGTTTCCTTACTGGGAAAACAAGCTTAGGAAAAATATATAAGAATGACTCTAGGACACTACAGACATAAAAAGGCTTTGAGAATTTTGGGGCCCAAATCCAGGAAGATATTGAAAGCCAAAAAGTATACCCAATATTTGTGCATACTTCTCTCATAAGTTTAGGTGCATCTGTAGATTCTTTTGGAGACAAATTGATCAGAACTTTGGATACATTTGCAATGCCAAAGAACAGAAACTCAAGTCTGTGCTAGATGAAGGCCCCTGGCAGATCCCTATCATTTGAATTAGGACCTCCAAAGGGCTGCACAGTGGAAGAAAAACCAATTCAGAAATAAGAAATAACCGTCCTGAGTGGTAACTGGATTCAGATGATCACTAATTTCTGGTGCTTCTGGCTGCTGGCCTAAATCAAATATAAATCCTCATTTTCACCTCTGGATAAGACATAGCCTTTCAAGGCAGACCAGAACAACTACAAAAACTGGACAAATTATAAAATCACTTATTGAAATGCATAAAAGACAAACAGAATCCACAAGGCCTATATAAAGTAAAATTCTAGCAAAGGAAAAATTTATGGAGGTGAGGTAAGGATATGCAGCCATTCTTGAAGGCATTTGTTTGTCCTAGGCTTGAGACAAAAGCTGAGACAACTGAGCGAACCCGTGCATAGGCAAACTTCTAGGGAACAGAGGGAAAAGCAGAGAATTTTGTGGGGTTGAGGGTCACATGGGACTGGATTGAAATAATTAGAGGTTTCAGGGAGCTCAGACACATAGCTCATCTTATCCTCAGCGTATTCCCTGAACTCCAAAGCTGCACAGAGCTGGAGGCCAAAACACAAAGACTAAAAATTAAAATGTCTAAAAATCACAGGAATATCCTGTATTCTTGCCTTGGAAGACTAACTGTTGCAAATATGTCAATTTCTAGCAGCTGATTTAGAAAGTCAATGCAATCTCAACCAGAATTCTGAACAGTATTGTTTAAGAAAAATTGACAAATGGATTGAAGAATAAATATGGGAATGCAATTGACTAAATTTTGAAAAGAAATTACAAAATTGGAGAAGACTGTTAGGTATCAAAACACAAGCTCTATTATCAATCTTTATTTGAAATGTAATTAATATATGATAAAACCAAACATTTAATATATACAATTTGATGAGTTTGCACATATGTGTGCACTCATAAAATGTCATAATAATCAAGGTAATAGACATGTCCATCATCTCCAGAAATTTCTTGTATCTCTTGTGTGTGTGTGTGATAAGAACACTCAATGTGGGATTTACTCTCAACAAATTTCTAAGTGCATAAAATGGTATTTTTGACTATAGACACTATACCTTGAAGCAGATCTCTAGAATGAATTCATCTTGCTATACTAATGAAGACAGGTTGTATTGGCATCAGGACAGAAATATAAGCCATTGAATTGGAATTTAGAGTCCAGAAACATACCTTGTACATATAGTCACATGATTTATGACACATTTAGTACCACAATGCTGCACCACAAAGGTTGTCTTTTCAATAAATTATCTTTTGTCAGCTGTATATCCATATTGTAAAAATGAAATCTGACCTGGTAGATAATAGATCTAAATATGAAAAGTAGAACAATAAAGTTTATAAAAGATAACATAGAGGCATATCATCTTGACTGTTGAAAAGGGAAGCACTTCCTATATTAGTCACAAAAGTTCTAACACCAGCAAATAGGCAGAAAACAAATTAAAATAGAAACAACTCTATTATCAAAGATACCATGTGAGAAATATACAAGAAGTCTCCCAAAATGGGTGAAATAGTTTTAGACACATGTAACTAAAAGAAGGTCTATATCCAGAATTTATAAAAGACTACAACAAGGCCAGGCATGGTGGCTCATGCCTGTAATACCAGCACTTTGGGAAAATAACAAATATTTATTACATCAGTTTCTATGGGTCAAGAATCAGGCACAATTAATCTGGACACCTGTGACTCAAGGTCTTTCATGAGGTTGAAATTAGGTATTTGGATGGCAGTCATCTGGAGCATCAATGGAGCTAAAATATCTTCTTCCAAACTCACTGATGCAGTTTTGGCAGATCTCTGAAGAATCCACTTCTAAAGTCACTTATGAGTGTCTCCTTCCAAGGCTGCCTTATAACATTGCAACTGGCTTTCCCCAGCCTGAATGACTTAAGGGAGAACCAGAGAGAACACCATAAGGGAAGTCATTGTCTTTTTTATTACCTAATCACACAAGGTCCATCCTATTATTTCTGCTTCATTTCATTTTTTAGAACAAGTTCCTAAACTCACAGTATGACTAACAGGGGGTAGGTGTTGTTGAGGTCTATCGTGGAGCTTTCCTACTATAGATGGCAGTGTCCAATTTTTTACCTTGGTGGAGATACCATAAATGATTGCTTTATGTTATTCACTGGGCTATATATTTTTCTTGTAAACTTTTCTTTATATTTTTTTTAATTGCATTTTAGCTTTTGGGGTACATGTGAAGAACATGTAAGATTGTTGCATAGGTATACACATGGCAGTGTGATTTGCTGCCTTCCTCCCCATCACCTATTTATTGTTGTTAAAACATTTTACTTTTCTAAAACATTATTTTTATGTTTTATTTTTTTAAGACACAGGATCTTGCTCTGTCACCCAGGCTGGAGTGTGATGCTGTGATCATAGCTCTCTGTAATCTTATAAATTCCTGGCCTCAAACAATCCCCCTGCCTCATCCTTCCAAGCAGCTAGGACTATATAGCATGTGCCACGTTGCTTTGCTGATTTTTAAAATTTTGGAGAGACAGTGTTTTCCTATATTTTCTAGCCTGGTCCGGAACTCCCAGTCTCAAGTTATCTTCCTACCTCTGCCTCCCAAAGTGTTGGGATTACAGGGGTGAGTCATCATAACTGGCCTAAAGTTTTTTAAATTAAAAATATACTGTCATAGACATTTCTTCAAGTTTCAAGTGTTCACAGAATGGAATCAAGATAGTATACAATTGCAAAGGACTTCTTCTTACCCATTCCCTTAGATATATGGACTGCTTTAAAACTACTTAGAAATTTAATTTAGGATCCCACTTACAAACAACTAAACCCACCAACAATTAAAATTGAAATGGATAAATTAAATTGAGCTGATCTTTCCCTTAGGAAGCAATTTTTCTCAACACCCTTATTTAAACGTTTCTTGCTTAGTATGCTTTTTAGTTGCTTGTGAACAAATTATACCTAAGAGAAAGTCTCAAATTTCAAGTTTTCCTCAAATGCCACTCTCAATATGAGCCTAATAACTTTCCTAATAACATACCATGAGTACAGTTTTCTAAATTTCAAACGAAAAATATTTTTTCTATATTTCATAGAAATCTTCACTAGTGATTTGAATAGGCATAACTATTTTTTTCTGACATATAAATAGTGATAAAGAAAGCATTTTCTTAGTACTTTAATTTGAATATCATGCTTCTAATTGAAATATAACCAATGCACATGGTATTAAAGTAAAAAGGAATCATTGCTTGAACTAGTCATCTGATAACAATACACATACATAAATAGATTCTTTCATGGATAAGAGAGGAGCAGCTTACATCTAAGCGTACTGCTCACTCATTTCTTGACAAACTTGACAAATGTCACAGCCCAGTCAGTCACCTTGGCCTTCACTATGGAGAAGTGCACAGATGTGGACATGGATATGAAATGCTCCTGTCACTTTCCCTCAAGTGGACAATTCCAGAGGGAGCTTGAGAACAGGTTAAAAAGAGTTGAGAAAAATACAATGTTTCTTTTTTATGTAAGTGTTTAGTATAACTAAAAAGCATAAAATAGTAAGACTGATAAAAATATATACAAATAATGTGCATCAAAGTCAATTTTTAAAAGCATATGTTATTATATCATGAAATCAAAACTCTCAGATTTTAACGAGAATTTTATAATAACAATGATAAAAAAGACAACCGTATCAGTTATTGACCTATTCCTTTTCTTAATGCTAAAGCTATTCTTCTTTCTACAATGTGATGCTGGGGTGGGGACCTTTTGTTGGCTACTCCCTGATTGGCTCTATCA